GGCAAATTGAAAAAAAAATTCTTTTTTACAGCGCAAATATTTGTAATAAAAAATAAATATAAAGTGAGCACTGTACACTTTGTATTCTGTGTTGTAATTGAAACTAATATATTTGAAAATGTAGTAAACATCCAAAAATATTTAAAATAAAAGGTATTCTATTGTTGTTTAACAGCACGATTAATCGCGTGATTAATCATGATTAATTTTTTTAATCGCTTGACAGCCCAAGTAGGAATAACAAGCAAGGCCTCCACAACTTGAAATCACAATAAAAAATCAAAAAGGAAAAGATTCTTGTTCTGTTACCCTGACTACTAAAAGCAAGTAAGAAAGGACACATGGCTAATTGTGCCTTCTTGCTGCATATGCTCAGTCACCACTCTTTTCTCTTTGAAGAGCTTGTATTCATGTATGAAGAGGGTAAGAGTGGTTGTCTGTTCAAAGCACAATGGAACTCCAGGGTAGAGTTTACAGATGGAAGGACCAATTATGCAAGGTGCCGAATTCCCCCAACCTCTAATGAATTCAGCAGGAGGCAGGGGCACTCCACACCTTAGGGGAGGAGCTCAGCACTTCACAGGCCCATAGAGTATTTAGCTAAATTATTGAAAGGCTTTCAGGATATTCCCTTCCATTTTTCAATTGATAGGCATTGTGTTTCAGAGTTGGAATGAGGACACAGCTGAGTACCTAATTTTCTAATGCATATATAAAGGGAAAGCTCTGGTTTCCCACAGAGCAAACATGTACTATTCTATTACGTTTATTTGTTCTAGATGTATTGGATACTGAATCTGATTTGCTGGTTTGGGTTCTTTTAGCTTTGATAATTGTGAGAAAAAAACATGATACATGAGGTAATGAAGATGTTGAATTTGATCTAAAGCTCAGTGAAATCCATGAAAAGACTCTCTGATTCCAATGGGCTTTGGATGAACCCATAGTGAAAATATTACTGTAGCCATATGTTAACTATGTTAACTGTACCTGGAAAGATAATGAAGCAAATAATTAAGCAATCAATTTGCAAACATCTAGAAGATAATAAGGTGATAAGTAACAGTCAGCATGGATTTGTCAAGAACATATCATGTCAAACCAACCTGATAGCTTTCTTTGACAGAATAACAAGCCTTTGATGGGGGAAAGCGGTAGAGGTGGTATATCTTGACTTTAGTAAAGCTTTTGATACTGTCTCACATGACCTTCTCATAAACAAACTAGTGAAATGCAAGGTAGATGGAGTTACTATAAGGTGGGTGCAAAACTGGTTGGAAAACCATTCCCAGGGACCAGTTATCAGTGGTTCACAGTCATGCTGGAAGGGCATAACAAGTGGGGTCCTACAGGGATCAGTTCTGGGTCCGGTTCTATTCAATATCTTCATCAATGATTTAGATAATGGTATAGAGAGTATACTTATAAAGTTTGCAGATAATACCAAGCTGGGAGGGGTTGCAAGTGCTTTAGAGGATAGGATTAAAATTCAAAATGATCTGGACAAACTGGAGAAATGGTCTGAAGTAAATAGGATGAAATAAGGACAAACGCAAAGTACTCCCCTTATCAAGGACCATTCAGTTGCACACATAGAAAATGGGAAATGACTGCCTAGAAAGAAGTACTACGGAAAGGGATCTGGAGGTCATAGTGGACCATAAGCTAAATATGAGTCAACAGTGTAACACTGTTGCAAAAAAAAGCAAATATCATTCTGGGATGTATTAGCAGCAGTGTTGTAAGCAAGACACGAGAAGTAATTCTTCTGCTCTACTCCACGCTGATTAGGCCTCAACTGGAGTATTGTGTCCAGTTCTGGGTGCCACATTTCAGGAAAGATGTGGACAGAGAAGAGCAAAAAAAATTATTAAAGGTCTAGAAAACATGACCTATGAGAGAAGATTGAAAAAAATGGGTTTGTTTAGTCTGGAAAAGAGAAGACTGAGAGGGAACATGATAACAGTTTTCAAGTACATAAAAGGTTGTTACAAGGAGGGAGAAAAATTGTTCTTCTGAACCTCTGAGGCTAGGACAAGAAGCAATGGGCTTAAATTGCAGAAAGAGAGGTTTAGGTGGGACTTTAGGAAACACTTCCTAACTGTTAGGGTGGTTAAGCACTGGAATAAATCGCCTAGGGAGGTTGTGGAATCTCCATCATTGGAAATTTTAAAGAGCAGGTTAGACAAACACGTGTCAGAAATGGTCTAGATAATACTTAGTCCTGCCATGAGTGCATGGGACTGGACTAGATGACCTCTCAAGGTCCCTTCCAGTCCTATGATTCTGTTAGGTAAATGATTTATTACATTTTGAAAGCATATATAAATGTAGTAAGTTCTGCCTATTGCAAAGACCCAGAAGACTCACAAAGGGAATTAGCAAAGCACTGTGCCCAACTAATGGGAGAACAAATTACCATGAATAATGCAAACAAAAATAATCTGTATAATTTAAATCAGATGGAATATGGCAAATACTGTTATCCTTCCATTGAAAACATCCTTCCACTGAAGGTGTCCTATGGAAGGCAGAAGTATTGTTTCTTCCCTCTGAAGCACCTGGCATTGGCCATTGTCCGAATACAGAATACTGAGCTAGATGGACCATTGGTCTGACCCAGTACAGCCGTTCTTACGTTCTTATCTTTGATTTACAAGGAGTTTATTTGAACAATTCATCTCAGCCTCAGTTTGGTAGGATTTAGATTTTTTTCCCCATATGGTTTGTCTTTTTAATAAAAGATGCTCCAGAAATGTTATTTCATCAAAACCTCAGATTTCGACAGGAAAAGCTTCTTTATTAGCAGCCAGATTTCCAACACCTGTAAGAGCTATGGTAAGATTCTGTGAATGGCTCGTATCTGTGAGCTTCACATTACTGTCATTTAACACAGTATGAGTATAGGGATCAATTTAAATGAACATGTGTGAACTGACCAAACTACTAAGCAGTGGATGGAAGGAATATGTTCCAGAAGGGTTCAAACACACTGAAGGAGAGGTTTTGAACATCTCTGATTGCTAGGATTCTATTGCAAAGTTTTTAAAATATGTATATTGTGACATAAGTAGGGCAATATTAAAATGTGTAGTCAGGGCAGAGACCTGGGAGCCAGAACTCCTGGGTTCTATTTGTCGCTCTGACATTAATTTTCTCTTCCCATTGAGCAAATCAGTGCCCATTGAAGCTTTTAGTCTGGTAGGCTTTTGTGTATGTGTGCACATGCATGTCCGTAGTAGTTAGTTTAAATCTGATAGTATCTCTAGTGAATGTGAACTTCCTCCCTTTCCTGCATAAGCAAGAGAGCTGGACAGAGATAACAATGGGGTGCTTTAAGGCTGAAGTTTGTCTATCTATATTCTTAAACAACACCCACATTAATTCACTTTCTGTATTATTGAAGTGACTGCACAGTACAGTATACTGTGTGGAATGACTAAATGTTTGATGCCATTAAAAGGATGGGGGAGAAATGCAGAAAAACTAAATCCAGAAATACGTAACTAGAATGATTCAGAAACAGTTCATGTAATTCATTGCAATAACACGGCAGGCAAAAGCAGTGGATAACCCTGATTCAGTGTGTGTTGTGCATGTAAGTTAATTTATTATCAGAATTAATCTAACTAGCACAGTGTGAACTCTAAAGGAAACTGCTCTTCTGCCCAGCATTATTGAGGGTCAGAGAACAAACTGCATATAGGTAACTCTTCTATCTCCTTTTAAAATTCTGAGTTTTGTTCAGCCCTTTGCCTAGGTACGGAAGTTATGCTGTATTATACTGTGCAGTGATATTCCTTTGTTTGCAGACAACTCACACATCACCCCCTCTGCACTTTAACTTTTAGGCTAATAAATGGTGATAACCAAATGCACAGACAAAACAGTTCCCATTTAAAATAATCTGCACATCTGGTAGCATACACCCCCATATTTGCTGTAGCAAGTATGTTTAGGAGAAGTCTCTCATGAGCCATTCTTTCCAAGGGTATCCTTGATATAGACTTCTCAGAGACTGAATCTTACCCTCAATGCCAGGATCTGGAGTAGGAGATGGGGTGTGAGAGAAGGCAGTTCACTCATTGCTTCCCCTTTTTTACATAGAATTACATAGAACCTTCAGTATAGTATGGCCTATGTGTGTCATGCATTTGCTCTCAGTTCACATTTGGGGCTTGATCCTGCAAGGTGCTGAGTAGAGTTGATAAAATAAATAAACAAAACCTGGGCTTTTTAATAATCGGAAATGTTCATCAAAACAAAATGTTTTTGGTGTGCATGGGGGTTTGTTTTGCTTTTTCTTTCTATTTTTTTCCCAAGAAAGTGGGAGAAAAAAAATCCAGTTTTGGGTTTACAGTATTTCAACTCCTCCCCCCCCATTTTGTCCCTCAGTTTCCTCCCCACCTCAGCCCTCCCCCCCTTTTTCAGTGGCAAAATGGAAAAGAAAAAATAGAGAAAGGGGAGGGGAGGGGAGTAAAAAGGAGGGGGAAGGAAAACTGAAAAAACAAAATCCCAGAGAGTTCCAGTTAACACAAAATAGTTGGCAAAATAACACTATGTATATTATCTGGGCCCCAAACCAGCTTAATTTGACTGATGAGCCTAATTTTTATTTAGCGATATTATTTACAAAATTAAAGAGAGGTTTATGTATAATGTGGCACTTCCAGTTTCTGCAAATAAAAAGAAAAGAAGAACAGAAATTACAGTAACAACACACTAGCTACAGAACCAGTCGGCAAAAGAAATGTCTGAACTGAAAACTTTGAAAAAATGTTTAACCACGGCAAAGATATAACAAAACACTCAACTTCTTTAGCCATACAGGAAGATATGTTACAATATCTCCCCAACCAATCAGTAGTGCTGCAAGCCTCAGACCAGGAAACCCTTTAAAGTACAGTATATGTGAACATTGCAACTAAAACTTCTCACTTGCTGCTCTTTCTTTCTTTTCTTTTTTTTCTTTTTTTTTTTTTTGTTCTTTCTGGTTGTAGAATGGCAAGGCAGATGTGAAGTCCCTCATGGCGAAATTTAACACTGGTAACAACCCATCAGAGGACGTTCCGGTTAGCAATCAACCCTTCAAAATCCCAGGACAACCTTCATCTTCAGGACTACAGGCAAGGAAAGCTGCACTTGAGAAATTTACCAGTCCTCCTTCAGGTCCCAGTACCTTTCACAAGTCTGCATCTCCTAAACCGTCATTTGGAGCAAAACCTTCTATTGAAGATAAACCAGAAAGGGATCCAAAACCTCCCTATCTAAAACATAACCCTGTGGCACACAAGTTCGGGTCTCCGGTTAATGCAGCTAACAGAGAAGCTGATGCCAAAGCTGGAGTCACTAAATATCTGGGTCCTAAAGCCACTGAACTGTCAAAAGAAGAACCCAAGCCTGTGTTTCCAAAACCTCCTGTAAACAAGTTCCTTAGCTCTACTGCCCAGGAGAATGACATAAAGCCGCCAGGACCTAAACCGAATTTTAATTCTGCAGCACAAGAGAGTGAGCCAAAACCAGCATTCCCCAAACTAGCTGGGGTTAAAGAAAAGTTCATTGCTGCATCACAAGAAAATGACCCCAAGCCTCCTTTCTCTAAACCACCCCTTGGGCAAAAACCTTCTCTAAATCCTGATGTCTCCCACCACGAAGATATTTCCAACAGACATGCTTTTCTGACTAAGGGATCTTCAGGATCTCTAGGCCCCAGACCAAAAATACATTCATTTAAATTACCAAAGGAAACAGCAGAAAATAGCAGTAATGGAACCGATTCCCCAGGTGGTCATTTTCCTACTGTGACTCTGAAATCTATTGGTAATCGGAGCACCCCAGGACAGGTTCTAAAAAATGTTGAGGAAAAGACTGAAGATAATAGGTCGGGGGTCGCCAAGAATATTTTCCTCAGTAAAATTAATCAGGAAGATTCTGGTCCAACTCCTTCTAAATTCCGCCAGCCACCTGCCAAGCTTGCTGCAGGAGGACCATCGGGCAGCTTCCACGCGAGAGAAGAGGGAGACCAGAATTCTGCAACTCCCAAGCGCAAAGCATTAACTCCATTATTTAAATTGGGCCAGCCTCCCCAAAAGCCCAGCAGACCCCCAACTGTGGACCTGGAAAGATTCCGAAAAAATAGTGCAAGAGACAGTGAGTCCTTTTTTATCTTATTTTATTTATTGATTTACTACTTAATTCATTCAGGGTGAAATTTCCCACAATATTCAGGGATAGTGTAAAGCCTGTGCATCATGACAATCCAACTTAAGCCTTTCATTTGCAAGTGTTGTCCCCTGCCCAGGGCAAAACCTACTGAAAGCAAGAGAAAAATAGTTGCAAAATAAAAATCATTTGATTCTTCCAACTATTACCCAGTGGAGAAGGGGCATCTTCTTTAATTGGTGTATTTGTTTCTGAAAATTGCTTAGATGGGGTTATAACTTGAATCAAATATTTCAAGTATTTCTTCTATGAGACTTTTATTTTCTGTTTCTTTAAAATGAGGCGTTGATGTAAAATGTCCTTTTTCACAAAGCAATTTCCTGGTGGAGATCGGTAGCTAAATAGCTACATGTATTCGATACACTGTGGTTTGTCATTTTAAATGCCCAAAGGTTTGTGTGGTTACTTAAGGTCAATGTGAGAATCTGAGAGCGCCTTTTTAAAATGTATCTATAAAGATGGGCCTTAAGCAAAACCTCAGAATCCTCATTTAGAGTGTCCTGTAAATTTGGAACTGTTTGAAATTCAGATCCAGATCTGAATCCAGATTTCGCAAACAGCTTCTGGGCTAGATCATCCGCTAGTGTAAATCATTGTGTCACTACTGGCTTCAATGGAGCTATGCTGATTTACATCAGCTAAGGATCTGGCTCACTTTTTTATGAAGAAGCAAGAGCCTCTGAACTTTGTGGCAGTTGTAGTACCGATCTGAATTTCAAGGCTTGTGATCACTTATATATAAATACTGAGACAGCTTTATACATAGGGCCTCTGCAAACGTGCCTGCAGTATTTGTGAGTACCTGCCTGTCACTGTCTGAAATACAGAGTTGTGTGCATGCAATCATTGGCTTGTGCAAAATAAGTAATGTTGGCCCTGGTTGTGCAAGGAGCTCTGCATGGATAGACCCCTTCCCTCTCACTGGTGCAGTTGCAGCACCTGGGCAAGTGCATATAAGTTGCTCTTTTTCACATACAGTTGCTGGTTTTGCATACCGAAATAGGTGTGCCTGCCATTGCTGCAGATTGGATTTTCTGAGACTCTGGAAAATATGTCACCCACTAAGGCCAAACATTCAAAATATGAGTACCTAAAAGTTAGGCTCCCAAATCCATATTAGCTCCCCTAAGCAGAAGTTGTCAGATTTTCAAACATGTTGAACACCCTTAGTTTCCACGGAAGTCACCCAGGTTTGAAACTGTTGGTTTAAGGTATCTTTCTATATAGTGACTGTAAGCACTTTCTCTGAACTAATCCAGTGCATCTCAGTGTTGTCAACTCTCACAATTTATTGCAAACCTTGCAATAATTGGTGTTTCTATTTAAACCAGAGCTCCTGGAGTCAAGTGATTAGGGAGAATCTCAGCTTTCGTTTTTAAAAAAGAAAGTTTCCCTCCCTCCTGGTTGAAGAGAAAAGCTGCAAAACTTGACCCAAGTATACTCTGAGGGCTTAGGAAGATAAATAAAAAAACACCAAAATTATTATCATTATTTTTAATATGACATTTTAATTCAATCTCATTGATCTTTCTGGGCTTGTCTTATGATTTTTGAATGCTTGTTGTTAGTAATACTGGCACAGTGAGCTTATGGGTTACGTCACACAGATTAATAATTACAATAATACTTTGAATTTCTCCAGCATTCTTTGGCTGAAAACCTCAACTCATTTCACAAACAGGTAAAGGTCTGTGTGAGGTGGTTAAGCCACTTTTTTGTAGGTCCCTTTTAAACTAGTGATTTGCACTGGTGCAGCTACATCAATGTAATTATGCTGGTGCAAAAAGGCCCATTGTAGACACTGTCTACAAGCCCCATTGCCTTTGTTACTTTCATATTTAGAACACTGCATTGCATGCTTGTTTGGCTATTAGTTTTTACCTACTGCTGGATGGACATAAACAAAATGTTATGCCCAGCTGAAGATTCTGTAGAGAAAAGAGTTCAGAGTGGTGAGATGAGTCACACTGATGATAAAAGCCATGTTATGAACACGGAGTATGGGTGCAACATTATATCCAGCTATTAATTCCTTCAGTACTGAGTTAGTGACTGAAGCTTGGCTAATTAAAGTGCACAGTCTTATCAGTAGCTACATTCTGGTTTTCCTGTGTAACTGTAAGTGTTTTCATTAATTCATTGCATGGGCTAAATGTTCATCTGTGTGACAGTGTAGCGAACACATTTTAAGTTAGTGACACTATAAACTGTGAAATGCACTCACAGAGATAAATCAAAAACAACAGCAGAATTGCTAACCAGTGTTAACAAAAAAATTAGGAATCAGGCCACAAAAAGATCAAGGGATTTAAAAAGAATAATAATAAATATTAGGTTCATCATATTTGTCTCTGTTTTCTGCGCTGTTAGGGTGCTCTCAGGTCATGTTTTCAAGCTTTCCTCTGCAATCACAGGGGCTAGAAATCTAATGTTTAACAAATGATTTGAGCTTTGATCCTGCACTTGGCTCCACGTGGCTGCAAAGGTTCAGCCATGCACAGCATGATCAGGGACTTCATTTGTAGACTCTTTGGTGAAGAGCCCATGTGATTGTACTAGTGCTGTCAAGTGCCTCAAATATGCTGTAATAATAATAGTAATAAAACTATGTCGAAGCAAAATTATTGGCTTCCAATAGGTACCACTAATATCCTTGTAGGTTGCTCAATATACCTTGTACTTGAGGATGGATAGGTGAGTTCTTAGGTAGCTTAAATTAAAATAACTCCTGGAAAAATTAGTTTTCAAGTAAACAGATCATTCATGTCTGTTGGACTGCTTGGGATAGTAGCTTTGCAACAGTGTCATCATTTTTACTTTCTGCATCCCATTGGCACCTTTTTGCTCTGGGGTTTACTTCTGTGATTCTGGGTGCTGAGTAAACAGAAAACAAGCAAACTTGCTGGCAAACCACTGTGGTATTATCCACTAATGCCATTCCCACTTAGAGTGAAATACAGTGCAGTCTATTATCAGTTCAGTCCTAGATCATAGGCACTCTATTGGCTTTCCATATTCAGATGATAATAATAATAACAATAATTATTAGTGAGTGTCCAAAAGTATGCAAGGACTTCACAAAAACAAGTAAAAACACGGTCCTTTCCCCCCAAACAATTGACAGCCTAAGTCTCCAACCCTGCAACTGATTTCACAGAGGAAGTCCTGCACCTGTGGCTTCATGCGGGTAGAGATGTCCACCCACGTGAAATCAGTTGCAGGATAAGATCCTAAATACTTCAAAGACCTTCCTTTTCTCTACCCTGTGAATGAAGAGCATTTGTGCTTTTGAACGTTAGTTGCAGAACTGAAAGGCAATGGGTATGAATCAGTTGGGAGGGAGGGCATTTTAGGTACCTCTCCTATTTCTCCTTTTAATGTAAAGAAAAATTACTTCACAGAGATGACGTTTTCTGAAGCAAATTACCTGAGAAGAAAAGAGGGATAAAGGGAATGTTACAAAAGTTGGTGTAATCACTGTATTTAACTGCAAGTGGGAATCAATAACGAACAAGCAGCAATAATCATAATCATGAATATTTTTGTTATAGGCCCAGTCAGTATTGAGACAGCGATATTAGCAAGAGACAGTCCCTGCCCTGAAGAACTTACGGTCTAAGGGTATGTCTACACATCAACTGGGTGGTGAGATTCCCAGCTCGGGTCGACAGACGTGTTATCTCTGCTTGAGCTAACATAATGAAAATAGCAGTGTGGCTGTGGCAGCTCAGGCTAGTCGCCCAAGAACAGTCCCCCCTGACTCCCTGGGTGCACAGTCGGGGGGCTAGCACATGCTGTCACCACCTATGCTGTCATGGCACACTGTTTTTTTTAACATGCTAGCTTTAGCAGTGCTAGCATGTGTACATCTACCCAAGCTCGGAATTACACCCCTCAGCTACTGTGTGGACAAACCCTAAATGGATACAACAGACAAACAGTGGAAAGGGGAGGGGAGGAAGGCACAGAGAGGTGAAGTCCTTTGCCCAAATCACAGATTGGCAGATTAAATAATTAACAATCAAATAAGATAATCAAATAATATGACAATCTTAACTGTCTGATGCGCAGTACATTGGAGCAAAGGGAATGCAGTTCTGATTGATGTGCAAGACAAAACAGTGACTTGCAAAGTTGTAAGGTTTTTTTTTCATTTTAGTGAATTTAAAATAGGTCACTATTAAAATAGCAACTTTGTTTAAAAAAATAGAACATATTAGAGTTGGTCAAACGTCTTAAAAGCTGATTTGTGAATATTTTTATACATAGAAGCACCAAGTTAGGTGCCCTGTTTTTCTTCAAGTGATTCATTATTTGTGAGTATTCAGATAATGATCAGGTAATTATGAAAATGTGAATCAATTTCATGAACTGAATTCAATGGAACTATGCAATGGTATAAACTTATTCATGTGCATGTATGTTTGCAGGATCAGGACCTAAGGGATTACTGCAGGGAGGGTTTGTTTGCTTGGTTGGTAGGTTTTTGTTTTTGTTACCTCACTGCTAGAATGGGAAAAGATATATATATATACCAGCATAGGTATAAGTATAACAAAAATATATGGTAAGAAAAAGAAGTTTAACTTGAGACAGAAATATCAGTTTCTAAAACAATTCAAGCTCAAAAAAACAAAAAAACAAAAACAAAACCCATGCATTGTACCAGAGACTAAGCTGCACCATAGTTTTGTTTTTAGTATCTAATGGAAGAGACCACATCTGTCATGCAACATGCCACAAAGTCTTGGCTGAAAGAGTTCTCAGACCAACAGTGCTGTAGCAACAAGTGTTACAGACTGCCTCAATCTTGGTTACCTTGTCATTTCAGATAGATAAAATATCCTGCCATAAATTTTAAAATATTCATGAAATATACATGACTGATTGGGCCAGTTGACACTGGCAGGGATTTGACCTAAGTGATC